GGGCAAAAGTCTTTCGGAGAAACGGGAGCAGCATAGTTTTTCCGGAAAAGCACTGATGATTTTACATGAGATCATCAGTGCTTTTCCGGAAATTCAAGCGCCCAGTGTAGACAGCTGGCAAGTTTTTCCGGAAAATCATCTGATTTTTCCGGAAAAACTTGCCAGTGTAGACATAGCCACAGTGGGATTTTTAGAAAGTGCCAAAGCAGAGTAGGTGCTAGGGGTATCAATGGTTAACTGCTTAACCAGTAAGCAGGGGAGAGGGAGCTGAAGTAGTCCCCTGCCCACAGGCAGGGGGCTGCGTCAGCCCCTGGGGCCTGCACTGTAGGGAGGGGGCACTTCAGCTGCACCAGAGCAGCCCCCTGGCCATGGCAGAGGGAGGAATGCTCCAGCCCCCCCCCCCACCCGCGTGTAATCAGTTAAGTAGTTAAAGTTTAAAGAGTTGATGAATTAAACAGGATTTTATGTCCCTATGGGGTGCCTAACTCCCATTGGCTATAGTGTCTAGGCATTTTTGTGGCTTCTACTAGGCACCTAAATACCTGCCCTCTGGGCACCCAGGAGCCTAAGTCGCATACAATCAATGGAGCCTTGGAAATCATACTAATGACCCTATGTAAAACATTACCCCCAAACCTGCGCTAAGATTGGGCCCCCGTCTCCTCTCCCCTCAGTACTATTGCACCCTGTTTTATATGAGTAGCACCCAGTACTCCCAGCCCAAAACTGAACTCCGCTGTCCTAAGAGAGCCATGCAGAGGAATTTCCCATCGGAGACTCCGATCCTGCAAGCTGTCCAGAACAGGCAGACCTCTCTGCCCATGCTGAGCTCTGTCCATATCACAGGCATTTCATCCTGGCCTGGAGACCTGTTGATGTAGAACAGTTTGCAGGGCCACAGAAGCCGACTTGCACAGAAAAGGCGAGGAGAGAGGCACAGACAATTACGTGCACTGCTATAGGAAGATCTATAGCAGCATGTATGGCTCATCCTTCTATACAGCGGAACTACGTGCAAGCTAGTCTCAGTTTTCTCTCAGCCTAGCAACAGCTGGCGGATTTCTCCTGGGCACTGGAAAGCAGTGGTGTTCACTAGCGCTTCACTAGTGCTGCTTGCAGTTCACAACCCTGGCACCTCTGGGCTTGTTGCACAAATTTAGCAGCGGAGTTCAACAGTGGAAAAGGAGCATTTGTGAGATCAGAATCAGTCCAGCTGAAACTAGGATCAGGCTGGCTTTGGTCAGTTTTGACTGAAGCGTGCCAATGATCAGTGGATGTGTTGGCAGTGAGCTGGAGAATAATTATTTGTGATTATTACCGGGCCTCGTTGTGGTAGGCGCTGTACGGAAACACAGCACACAAAGGTACACAGATGCAGCACACAAAGCACATTTGTAATCTGGGAGGAGCGACAACAGGTGGATACAACAGATGCTGGAGTTGCCCAAGGAAGGAGCGAGCCAGCTCTGGCTGCCATGCCCTGTGGCGGCTGTACCGGCTGCACGGCCAGGTGTTGGAATGGCGTGGGAAGGGTTTTGAACTTGCTTTGTTTCATTTTCCCAGAAGCCATCCCCGCCCAGGGACACGTGAAGTTTCCATTTCCTAGGGTTGCATGAAATGTACGAGAGAGCGCTGCCAGGGCTGAAGTCTGTTTACAGACAAGGGCTGAGTCTAAGAAAAGGCTTATTCAGCTTTCCTCGGCGGGTCTGGGGGATTCATAGTTGATGCACGTACAAGGGCTGGGGCATTACCTCCTAATCTGCTGCTTATTCGGGAGTCCTTAGGTTACGTCTACCCCACCGAGGCTCTGCTCACAGAGCTATGCTGGCAAAGCCCCATCTGGCACTGGCCACTGTCTGCAGACTGGACCCTCGGCTAGACGAGCCTTCGCTCTGAGCCAGCCTGGCCATTCGTAGGTGTAGATGCAGCCTACGCCAACAGGGAGCTGCCAGTGGGGATGGAAGCCCTCTTCTGTGCATCAGAGCTGCAGCTACACGAGGGGGCGTAGCCGATCGGGGCGCAGGGCGTTTCCCGCAGCTCTGGGCCCATATGAACTTTTGAGGCTATCGCAGACCTTAGTCTGAGTCAGCTGCTTGTCCCTCTGATCTGCAGGAGATGGCGCTGCAGTCACAGACAGGGGTCAGTGGTTAATCGGTTAACCGGTAAGTATTGCCTTTACTGAGTGATGCTCACCAGTTACTGGTTAACCGGCAGCCCGGCTGCGCTGGAGTGGCCTCCCCCTGCCCACCTCTGTTTGAAGGGGAAATGGGTTACACCATGGGCAGAGGATAGAACAGGCAGGGGAAGGTGTTCCCTTCCCAAACGGCCAGCCTGGCTCCGCCCACACTCCGCCCCCAGAACACCTACTGTAGGCATAATGGGGGCAGAGCGTTGCTGCCCTTAAGCACCAGCCCTCCCGGTGCTCAGGTCACCCACCCTCCGCATGGTGCTTGGAGGGAAGGGCTTGGCTCCTGTGGGGGCGTGGCCTACAAAGAAGGGGCATGGCCTATGAAGAAGGGGCATGGCCTATGAAGAAGGGGCGTGGCCTACGAAGAAGGGGCGTGGCTGGGAGTTTGCCTCTCCCCTCCCCGACCTTCACCCACGGCCCAGGGGTTAACCAGTTAACTGATTAAAGAGGATTTTACATCCCTCGTCGCAGCGAGAAGTGACATGCAGCAGCCAAACGGCACCCAGTGCGACCGAGGCCGACCGGGCCCAGGCCCTTAACTGTCCCAACAGGGCGGCTGCAGGACCATGCTGGGTATTTTAAACTCTCCAGCTCTTTGGTTTCCCCTGTGGAATGAATTGGGCAGGCCTCAGCCCTGTTCCCAAACCACTGCAACCGGCCCCTGGCTGGCAGCAGGAGTGAGGAGGCTGGTCTGCCGTCACCCTGGCTCTGAAACCCGGGGACTTGGTTCTGCCAGGCTGCGAGCCAGCACCTCTCCCCGGCGGGACTGTTTGCCTTGGCGGGCGAGTCCGGCTGAGCGGGAGACAATAACATGACACTGCAGATCTAAACAGCTGGAGGGAAGGCTGGGCCTGTGCGTGTGTTGCAGGCTCAGTCCATTGCACAACGCCTGGCCTCAATCTCTTGGTCATAAGGCAATAGGAGAGGTGCCCAGGCAGTGCCAGGAGCCAGGCTGGCAGGCGTTCAGCCTCGGCCCAGCCCTAGGCTCTGGGCAGTGCTACCTGCCAGCTTTCCTCCTGCATTTCCTTAGCCAGATGCACTAAATCTTGGCCTGCACCAGACACAGGCAGCCCCCTCTGCAGCCCTGAGGTGCTGTGTCCATTGCACCCTTCTGTTGACAAAGGGGGGGGGTTCCAGCTGCCTCTCTTGGGGCAGGGGGTGGGGC